CCCAGCTCAAGGCTAGAGCTCTATCACTTGAGCCACAGTGCCACTTCCAGCTTTTTCTGTTTATGTGGTGCTGAGGAATCAAACCCAGGGTCTCATGTGTGTTAGGCACACACTCTACCACTGATCCACCTTCCCAGCCCCCTTATTTGCATATCTTTTATGGCCAGAAATGTTAAACATTTCTTCATGTGTCTATTGGCCATTCTTACGTCTTCTGAGAAGTTTCTCTTTGAGTCTTCAGCCCATTTATTGATTGGGTTGAGTTTTTGAGGGTTTATTTTTTGGGGATTTAATATTTTGATCTCTAAGTATATTTTAGATATAAAGCCCTTTTCTGATGCATTGCTAGAAAAGATCTAGAAAAGGTCTTCTATCATTCTGCAGCCTTTCTATATATCTTCTTAGCTGTGTCCTTTGATGTACAGAAACTCTTCAGTTTGATTCATTCCATTTATTCAGTCTTTCTTTGATTTGTTGTGATTCTGGATCTTAGGAAGTTCTGACCTATGCCTAGGAAGCCTAGTGTTTTCCCTACCCCTTCCTGCAATATTTTCACAATATCTGTCCTTATATTGAGATCTTTGATCCATTTAGAATTGATTCTGGTGAAGGGTGATATATGAGTATCTAGTTTCAGTTTTCTGCAGAGAGACAATTTTACCAGCACCTTTTGTAAAAGAGGCTGTCTTTTAACCTTTTATTTTTTTGCTCCCTTATCAAATATTAGGTGGCTATATGTTTCTGGGATTATTTTTAGGTCTTCTATTCTGTTCAATTGGTCCATCAACAGAAGCAAGGACAGAACCACATTATCATCTCAATAGATGTAGAAAAAGCATTTGACAAGATTCAACACCCCTTAATGGTAAAAGCTCTTGAGAAGCTAGGAATCCATGGAACATTCCTAAATATAATAAATGCTACATATGACAAACCTAAAGCCAGCATTATACTTAATGGTGAAAAGTTAAAAACAATTCTCTCTAAAATCTCTCCCCATTCCTCTTCAACATAATATAGAATTCCTAGCAAGAGCAATAAGGCAAGAGAAAACATAAAGAGGATCCAAATAGGGAAAGAGGTAAAGCTACCCCTCTTTGTGGGCAACATGATCCTATATTTAAAGAATCCTATAGATTCTTCCCGCAAGCTACTTGAGTTGATCCAAAACTTCAACAAAGTAGCAGGGTATAAATTCAACCACTCATCCCCCCCAAAAATCAGTGGGTTTCTGGGATGCCAACAATGAGAAGAGCAAGTCTGAAATCAGGAAAGCAACCACATTTGTAATAACCTCAAAAAAAAAAACCTAGGAATTAACTTAACCTAAGATGTGAAGGACTTTTATTGTGAAAATTTTAAAATTCTGAAAAAAGAAATTGAAACAGATTTAAGGAAATGGAAAAACTTCCCATGCTCCTGGATAGGAAGAATTAACATTGTAAAAATGACAATACGGAAATTGTAAAAAAAAAAAAAAAAAGGGGGGTTATATTGTAAAAAAAAAAGGGGGGGGGGTAAATTGTAAAAAACAAAAAAAAAGGAGTAAATTGTAAAAAAAAAAAAAAAAGGAAAAAAAAAAAAAATGGCAATACGGCCCAGAGCAATAAACAAATACGATGCAATACCCATCAAAATCTCAACAGCTTTCTTCAAAGGAAAAGAGAAATCAATCCAAAATTTCATCTGGAATAATGAAAGACCCAGAAACCATCCTTAGCAGTAAAAACAGTGTTAGAAGACTATCAATAGCAAGCTTTATTACAAAGCTATAGTTTAAAAAGAAAGAAAGAAAGAAAGAAGGAAGGAAAATCAGTTTGGTACCAGGAAAAGAATAGGCCTGAGGACCAATAGTAATCACTAGAATCCTTCTAAAAGGAAGGCAAGAGTATCACCGTGAGAATTACTACTGGGACAATGATAGCAAAAGTTTCAATTGGTGCAAATCTAGAGCCATGAAGCAAGGAATGCCAGAAATTTTCAGAAAAAAAAAAAAGAAACAACATAGAATCAGGTACTCCTGAGGCTTCCAGAAGTAATGCGGTGCTATAGATCCTTAATTTCCAGATCCTAACCTCCGGAACTGAAATAAAATAAATTTGTGTCCTTTTAATTCATGAAATTTAATTCATTAAATTCCTAGGAGCTTATTAAAAGGAGCAAGAATAATGCACTTACCTAATTTCTAAACTCTGGCTTTAGCCTTTGGGTCTCTTTTATTTTCTCTGTATTTATTATTTAATAATTTCAGTCAATCCAAAAACTTGAAATGTCTGTATGATGACAACTCCTAAATATACATCTTTGGCTAAACCTCTCAACCAAATTCTAAATTCACATATCTAAGTACCTCTGTCTGAAGTCTTGGCCATCCAGGGTCTGAATTCAGGACCTCTCCAACCAATTAGTCCTATCTACTTGACCCAAAAATCAAACAGAATAGTAATGGTCAAAGGCAGGCAAAGAATTTAATGAATGTTACCATATCAGGAAGACAAGAAGCATCCTAGCCCTGTCTTTGCATGATCTCCAAAGGGGATCATGATCCTCTTTAAGATAAAGAAAAGTACAAGAAGTATGCATGGTCAAGCAGTCTTGTCAAACAAAACATAACCTGTATACAGTTAGTAAAAATTATCTCAAGTTGGAAGTCGGTGCCTCATGACTGTAATCCTACCTACTCAGAGGCTGAGATCTGAGTATAGCAGTTCAAAGCCAGCCCAAGCAGGCAAGTCTGTGAGACTCTTATCTCCAATAAACTACTCAGAAAACCGGAAGTGGCGCTGTGGTTCAAGTGTTACAGTGCTTACCTTGAACTAAAAAGCTGATGGACAGCGCCCAGGCCCAGAGTTCAAGACCCACAACTGACCAAAAAAATTATCTCAGTTCTGGTCCAACAGTCAGTATCAAAATGTTACCACTGGTGGGAGAATGCAATGCTATGGATATGGCTGCTGCTCAGACGGTATTCACAACTTGCTTCAAAGGACATTAATCTATCAGATCTGTGATCATAGAGTGGTGGGGGACAATTCTTCTGTTTCCTTGCTCCTGTTTCATCATGAGGTAATCTGCCTAAAAGGCTCTGCTGCTGTTCTTTAAGATTTGGGGGCCATCACTAGAAACATGTAGGAAGTGTTCCACGAATCTGGAACCAAATGTTGAAAAAATTGGCAGTGAAGAATCTCTTTTTTAAAAAATACTTTAAGTACTCTTATCTTACTACCTTTAACCTTAAAGGGGGACAATTACGTTTTACATGAAAACTACTTTTAAAACGACTACCATGCTTACATGTAAAGTTGAGTGGGAATCTGATGCAAAGTTTAAGGTGATACTCAGGAGACAGATACAAAGTGAAAGAAGGTATTTCAAGCTTTATAGCTTAGTTGCACACTAGGTATCTACATGTCCAAGTGAAGATTCAGTGCTTTTAACTCAGTGTTTTTAGAGGCCTCTAGCCTCTAAGTGCCAGCTATACTTCTCCTTAAGACTCAAAATTATATGTCTAGAAGTCTCATACTACTTTCTTTTCCATCTCCAAAATGGCAACTGTATTCTGATTTTTCAGAACAAATCTTTGAGACGATCTTTGATACCTCATATACAATCAACTGGGCAAATCCTCCCAGTTTTATCTTTAAATATGTTCCACATACAAAAATTTCAATTATATTCTCCACTATCCAAGTTGTACCAATTATTAATATAATGTAGGTATTAATCAGACTTTCCATTGCTGTGACACAATATTTTACACAGACAATGTGGAGGAAGGAGATATTTGGCTGAGAGTTTCAAAGGTTTCGTCCACTGTGGCAGACCACATAGTCTTACACCGTGGTAACCAAGAAGGAGAGAAAGAGGTACAGGGAAAAACCAGGACAAGATTTAGCCACAAGGACAAACACAGATGTCTATATATGCAGCTCAGCAAAATTTATTCATAAAACATAGGAACTCAAAACTTAACATAATCTGTAAACTGTTAATAACAAAACTCTAAAAGTATTCCAGATTATTTTAAGAAAATGCAAACCACTTTCTTCTTATTCAATGAATTCCTGTTTAAGCAATCTCATTTTAAAACAGTAAGTAGTAGAATTGAGATTATTATCATAACACATGTGAACTACTACCTAATTATATCTACTATATTCTTATAGTATAAATGCTAATATTACCATCATCTTGCAATACAAAAGTTCCATTTATAACAAACTACTAGAAGTCTAATATCAGACAATCCCTGTAGTCATTGTTTTAACTTATTTCATTAAGAAGTTTCTAACAAGCCCAATACGTGGCAGTCAGTAATTGCCTATTCAAATATGTAAACCAATGGTAGTAAAAAAAAATCATTTCAAAAGTGTTTCCAAACAAAACAATACAAAAAGACATTCCAGTAGCAACATTTTTTTTCACAATTCTTAGTTTCTTACTGTAAACTAAAATGTCAATTAAGATGTCTAAGCGACACAAAAAAATTTACTATCGACAGACCCAAGAGTATTGTCCTAAAAAGGCGTGTTTGTAAAAGCTTAGGGCCTGGGCCAGTGTTTAGTGGTTATCTGATAGGGATAGTTAGCTGTGTCTAGACTGTTTACATGAACAACAATGTTTATGCTGAACGATGCTTGCCTGAAGATATTTATATGACCAATACCAGTAAACAACTTACATGCTTAGTTTCTAATAGGCTTCCTTGTTCATAAAAACTGCACATATGTGCCTTTATTTTCACTGCAAGTGGGGGAGGTGTGCTTTGTGTAACCTGTCAAGGGAGAGAGAACAAATGGATGCCTTCAGACTCTGCTTGTCTCTCTGAGGATACAGCTGCATCTCCTTACTGCTCCCTGGAATCAATCTCAGCCTAAAGTAAAAGGCAAGGCAGTATATGTTGAGTCACATGAGTTTTTCTAGAAATTCCCCCAAGTGTGCTCATGGTTTGAGGAAGCCACAATATAATAGCAGCCATTTCAGTAATCCAGGATTCTTACCTGCCGATATGCTTCGTAGATCACGTCGAATAGAAAAGCCTGTGGCATTTCACTGGCTCTGTGTCTGGCACGTTCCAGGGAGATCTCTAAGCAGCCATCGGCAGAGGGACTGATAACTGTAGATACAAGGGGTCTGATTGCTCCTGCTGCCTAAAGAACAAGTAAAAAAAAGGGAGGGGGCAAATGGAATGTTGAGTTCAGTTACAGTGCATTTTGAAGTAAAACTCTAAATTCTATATCTCACTTTAAAAAACAGATCTGAGGTCTACCCTCAACAAACCATCTCAAGAAGGAATCTGAGAAAATGTTGCTTCAATTCCCAAAGTCAAATTATCATCACATGTCAAACTTAACTTCATTTCATAATAGTGTCATCCCATGTGCTACAAGGGGGAAATTATTCTTTTCATCATAAGTTCAAAATCCTTTTCATCCTAAGTCGCTGAGGTCAAATATTATAAAGGGATGCTAAGATACAATTGAGTATTCCCTCCAGAGGGGAGGGAAAAAAGAGAAAGACTATTGTGAAATAATTAAAGTGTTGCAGATGAATGTTTACATATTAGGGAGCCTTCAGAACATTTAATTTACACATTAGAATACTAAAGAAACAGACCAACTCCCCAAGTTCCCTAAATTGAGACTAAACAAGCCAAATAACAATGAATTTATGTCTTATTCTAATTCCTTTGAAAAGCAGTTCCTTTCAAACTTGACCTCCATGAAATGTTTCCTTAGGCAACATTCCCACTGATCTTCCTTACTTCGATGGAAGTTCTGTCTCATTAGAAGTTGCATATAAACTTTACTATAGGAAGACATCTAAACCTTAACACTTTAAAGATTGTGTCTGACAACTTTTCCCTTTATTTTTGATAGGGGTTTATTATAATAAAACCTTGACTATAATGACCAGAGAGCCACCTTTCAAGAATATTTTGAGGTGAGCAGTTAACCAGGCCTTCTTATACTGACTCAAAAATATCATTGACTTCCCAGGATTACCGCATGAACACCACAGCACGTGAAGGCAAAGCACAAATGGAACAAGTGTGCTTTTGAAGAGACCAACATCTAAACAAGATAGACAGTCCACATGGTTATTTACAAAAGCCAAGAGAAATTGGCTGGAAATCAAAGCTGTGATGTGAGCCAAGCAGACAGTTTACAAATTGTATCACCATTTCCAGGCCATCAAGTAGAAATTTGGAACCTAGGCATGAATGCAAAAACAGGACAGCTGGGAGTGAGATATGACATAGTGTCCAAGTAGGTGAAAAGTAGAGAGATGCAAGCATAACTAGTCAAACTTAGCCCCTATTATGGGGGTTAGAGGTAAGAATGGAAGTGAACACATGTGCAACAAGGATCATGTACTGCTGTGTAAGGGAAACTACTTACAGATAATTATTCTATGTCAGGCTTCAAAGTGGAAAAAAGTGAAACAACACATAAAACATCTAATATGTCCATGTAAAGAAGCTTTGTGGACTTTTTCTCCACTCAAACAACTACTGAATAGAATTTTAAAAACCATCCTAAATCATAAGAATTTTCCCAGAGAATTCAGTAAGTGAAAAAAACATATATTCCTAAACTTTGGTTTAAAAGAAACATGGCACTTGAGCCATGACTTCTTTCTTCTTTAACCCATCCCAACTCCAGTTTTGTGTGACAGAATCTAATAGGGTAGATAGAACTAAAACAAAACAATAAACATACAGCCAAGAGTTTCCCCAATCTCACATATGCTTTAGGATTTCTATGCCCAGAATGGAGAAGCAAGAAGATGCCAGACTCAGCCAAGCACTGGTGCCTCACAACTGTAATCCTAGCTACTCAGGAATCAGATCTGAGGATTGTTTGAAGCCAAGCCAGGGTAGGAAAGTCCTTGGTACTCTTATCTTCAATTAACTACCAAAAAAAAAGCCTGAAGTGGAGCTGTGGCTCAAGTGGTAGAATGCTAGCTTTGAGCAAAAAAGCTTAGGGACATCACCACTGATTTCAAGGAGGGCACACCAAAAAAAAAAAAAAAAAAGACTCTCCTATTGCTATCAGGCATCTCTGTCATCATGAAGTAAAGATGTCATGCCAAAAGAAATAAAACACCATACTCCTAGTTCAAGAGCAGAAGAGATTGCCCATAGGGTAGAGGAAGAAACTAAAAATCTATAAAGTCCACCAAGAAAACTCAGTTTATTTGTATCAGCGTACAGGGAAATCTCAATTTAAAAATTGAGACTAGAGGAGACTAGAATCTACATGAGAGCCAAATACTAAACTTTAGGCCAGTTAGTTTACCAAGGAACAAAGGACGACAAGAGCCATCCTAGAATCAGAACAAATATCAAATATTGGCCTTAAAACTACCCCTACAAAGAGGATAGTTTGATTGTATTAGATTATAAAACAGGGATGCTTCGGGCATTATGAAAATAAAGTTGAGCAATGAGCAGGCAATAGATAGCATTTAGTGGCTAGAGTCAGACAGTGCATGACTGATCAGGGATCAAGACAGCCAAGAAAACCCTGCTAACACCACTGTCTTTCCAATGCCTCTAATCATATCCAAGTCTAGCATCTATGGTGATCATGATTACATGTGTTTACTTTTTATCTTACCTCTATCCTCTACTGAAAGGGGTTAGTAGTGACATCAGAAGCTTTTCTGTGTCTTTTACACAGACTATTCACAGAAGAGACTTACTAAAATGGGTCATCCAAGTCACAAATAAGTAAGAAAAAAAAAACCCTTAGAAAGATAAGATGTAAGAGTCAGTGCCTGGAACTGCAACAAAATTCTAAAGTACTTTTTTTTTTCATTCTTGGGATTTGAACTTAGGTCCTCAAATTTTGTTTAGCTTGCTTGCTTTTTTGGCACTCAACTTCTGGAGCCATGCTTCCAATCTAACTTTTTGCTAGTTAGTTTTGAGATGGCGTTTCATAGACTCTTCAGCCCTACCTGGCTTTGAAATATGATCCGCTAGACAAAATACCTCCTTTTATATGTCAACAAAAACGAAGAAGAAATATAACTGAAATCATGAATTTTTGGAAGAAATGTTCACCTAGCAACCAAAGAAAGGATCAAAATTTGTGAAAACAGGAATGAAAAGTGATTTTATTGTAGAAATTGTAGAAGTAAAAAAAAATTAATAACAAGTTTAACAATCCAGAGAGTGAATAAGATAAATTGTTATATACAAATGACAACACTTGACTCAAAAAGGAAAAAGCAAAATTAGCAACTTAAATTTCCCAGGATGAGACGTCAAGACCTTCAATAGCTTCAGTGGTTAATTATGTCAAAATTTTGAAGAGAAATACTAACTCTTCACCAGGTTTTTCCAAAAGGGAATAAAAAGGAAGCAAGAAAAAGAGAATGTCCCCAAACTCCCTTTTGTATTACCAGGATTATCCTAGACCAAAACCAAACATAGATATCATAAGTCAAGACAACCACAGACAGACATCCTTTCCATATACATAGGGTCAAATACTTAAAATACAATCATCATTCTATATCCTCACCAGATTGGTTCTAGTACTGCCTGTGCATACCAAAATCCTTTGGTGTTCAAGTCCCTAATGTAAAGTTGCTCATGGCTACACACATACTCTAGTATACATTAAATCATCTATAGACTACTTATACCTAGCACAATGTAATATGCTACATTCGTGGCTATGATACCAAATTGTTTAGAGAATGACAAAAGAAAGACTCTACATGTTCAGCATGGATGTGGTTCATACAAAACATTTTCTATCCATAGTTGGATGAATCTATAATGTGGAACCTTAGGATATGGAGGGCTGATTATATTTGCAAATGAAATTCAACAACAAATTCAGCATTATATACCATGACCCAAAAGGATTTAATCCAAGAATGCCAGATTGATTCAACATACCAAAAATCAATTTAATATACCATATTAATAAAATAAAGGCCAAAACATGTGAACTTCTTAATAGCTGCATAAAATACTTCACAAAATCCCATAACCCTTCTTGAAAAAGAATGTAAATTAGAAACAGAAGAAAATTCAATCTGATAAAGAGCATCTATGGAAAATCCCATAGCTAAAAATCATACTTAATATTGAAATAATAAATATTGTTTCAGTGACAAAAAAAAAAGGCAAGGAAGATTCATTGTCACTGCTTTCATTAAACACTATAACAGCACTTGTAGCCAGAATCACTAGTTAAGAAAATGTAATGGAAGTGATCCAAAAGAAGCAAAATTTTCTTTGCTAGGGCTGGGAAGGTGGCTCAGTGGTAGAGCGCTTGCCTTGCATGCATGAGGCCCTGGGTTCGATTCCTCAGCACCACATAAGCAAAAAAGAAAAAAGCCGGAAGTGGTGCTGTGGCTCAAGTTGTAGAGTGGTAGCCTTGAGCTGAAGAGCTGAGGGACAGTGCCCAGGCCCAGAGTCAGGCCCCACAACCAGACCCAAAAAAACAAAAATTTTTCTTTGCTCATGGTACCATCTTGTACATAGAGATCACTTACAAATTCATTGAAGAACTCTTAAAAATGAATCAACAAATCCAGAAATGATGCAGAGAAAAAGCTCGATTCAAAAATCAACAATTTCCATGTACTACAAATGATCCAAAAAAATAAAACTCCATTTATGATCAAATTCCATTTATGATAGCATCAATTCAAATAAAATAGAACTAAATTCAAGACCAAAAATGTCTAAAACTTATTCTCTGGAAGTCAAAAAACATGTTACACCTCCCCTATAAGAGCTAACACCTTCATTTATGTACTGACCTGTTTCCTTCAAGTTCTTCGCCACAGCAATAGCCTTTGTATCCTGCCTCAGTTTCTATTCCTCCATTGAATTACTGCCATTACCATGCAAGCTTGCTGTTCCCTGAACCACCATGAAACCAGTCTCCTTTTGAACACAATCTGTCTAGAGCTAGTATCAAGCCTCTCCATAAAGTTTTAGTTTAGATATGAAATGCCACCCCCCCCCACAACTCATATGCCAAAGCTTTGGTCCTCAATGCAATAGTATTCAGAGGTAGACCTTGAGAGGCGACTGGATCATGAAGCATAGAAATTCTAACTTTATCATTGAACTAATTCATTAGATTTATAGCTGGATAGATGACTAGAAGATGCGAATTGT